TGCCTGCCATGCCCTCCAGGACCTCCCAGTACCCCCCAGTCTCTCCCAGTGCCCCCCAGTACTGCCTGCCATGCCCTCCAGGACCTCCCAGTACCCCCCAGTCTCCCCCCGTCCCCCTCCCACCAGGCGGGGGTGTCCTTTAAGGGGACCCCCTCCCAAAACATCCACCCAGGGACTGCTCCAGAAAGGGGGGACTGCAACCCGGGGGGCTTCCCCACCCACCCCCCGTCTGCCCTTGAGCCACTGGGGAAGCGGGTCATGGGCTGGGGGGGAGGGGGGGGGGTGTCCCATCCCCATGACCTCCGTTAACGAGCCCTAATTATGGCACCGAGACATTCGGGGGCCAAAAACCTTGTTTGAGCCAGTCTGGGGGGGTAGTGCTTCACCAGCCAGAATTCCTGGGGTTTGGCCCCCTCTTGTTTTGGGGTGAAGAAGCTGTTTTGGGGGTGAAAAGGCTTTTGGCGGGGGGGCCGAGGGTCCCAGTTTGGGGGCTAAAAGCACCATTTTTGGTGGCAGAAAGTCCATTTTTGGGGGGAAAAGCTGCAGTTTGGGGCTGAAAATCTCCATTTTGAGGGTGAAAAGCCCATTTTGGGGGCAAAAAGTCCAGGTTTGGGGACATAGAGCACCATTTTGGCATCGAAAATCTGCAGTTTGGGGGTGATAAGCCCCATTTTGGAAGTGAAAAGCCCCAGTTTGGGAGCAAAAAGCCCCATTTTGGAGGCAAGAAGTCCAGTTTGGGGGTAAAAAGCTGTGGTTTGGGGTCTGCAAAGACCCATTTTGCAGGTGAAAGGTCCCATTTTGGAAGCAGAGGGCCCCAGTTTGGGGGTGAAAAGTCCCAGTTCAGGGGCTAAGGGCTCTGGTTTGGGGTCAAAAAGCCTCATTCTGGGGGCCAAGGGCCCCATTTTGGGGCATAAAGCCCTGTTTTGGAGGTGAAAACCTGTTTTAGTGGCAAACACGTCCAGTTTGGGGGCCAAAGGCCCCATTTGGAGGTTGAAAAGCCTGGTTTGGGGGGTGTAAGGCCCCTGGTTGGGAGAAAAAAAGACCTGTTTTGGGGACAAAGAATCCATTTTGGGAGTGAAAAGTCCCAGTTTGGGGGCTGAGGGCCCTGTTTGGGGGTGAAAAGCCAAATTTGGGGGCTGAAAAGTCCCGGTTGGGGGGGGCTAGGGCCCCATTTTGGGGTTGAAAAGCTATGGTTTGGCGGTGTAAAGCCCCGGGTTTGGAGCAAAAAGTCCCAGTTCGGGGGCACAAAGCCCAGTTTGGGGTTAAAATGCCCCAGTTCGGAGCAAAAAGACCCTTTTTAGGGGCAAAAAGCTCTGATTTGGGGTGAAAAACCCATTTTGGGAGATGAGGGCCCCAGTTTCGGGGAGAAAAGCCCCAGTTTGGGGGCTGAGGGCCCTGGTTTGAGGGTGAAAAGCATTGCTCTGGGGTCAAAAAGGCCCATTTTGGGGGCAAAAAGGCCCATTTTGAGGTTGTAAAGCCTGGTTTTGGGGTTGAAAAGCCCACTTGGGGATTGAAAACCCTGATTTTGGAGTCGAAAAGCCCTGTTTGGGGGCTGGCGCTCCCCGGTGCGGTGACCTGGTCCCATGGTGGTTCCCGGGGGACACAGCGATGGGAC